TAACGTTGAATAGCCCCCAGGGCCCTTCCCATACCCCATCGTTGGCAACACGTTCCAGCTGCCTGACAACAAGCCCTGGATTTTCTTCGAGGAGCTATCCAAGAAATACAACACGCCGCTGATAACGTATTGGATCGGACGTAACCCAACCGTTTGGATCAACGATGCATGGACCGCAAATGAACTACTCGACAAAAGAGCTGGCATATACTGCTCGCGACCGCGCATGCTTGTCTTTGCCGAACTCGGATCTGGCCAAAACAACCTCGTGAACCTGATCACTACTACACAGGCGCAGCGTGAGCGTTTCCGGATGCTACGCAAGGTGACGCATCAGGGCGTTGGCATTCAGCAGGTGAAGAAGTACCGCGACTTCCAGAATGATGAGAGTAAAGTCGTCGCCCTCGATCTCCTGAGTACCCCCGAAAACTACGTTGCGCACTTTGAACGCTACGCGACCAGTGTGGTCTCTATCATCGGCTTTGGCAGACGCGTTGCAAGCCACGAAGATCCAATCATCACTGAGGTCATCGCATTGATGCACAGAGCGGCTGATCTGAACGTACCGGGCAAGACATTCCCTATGCTAATGGAGACCTTTCCGATCCTTGCTCGCGTACCTACGGAATATGCCCCATGGAAGCACGGCATGGGATCGAAGAAGAAGTCCTCCCGCGGCCATGACTTCTTTTATTCGCTCGCCAGAGAAGCAAACGAGAAACCAGGGCACGAAGACTGCTATTCAAAGATGTTGTTTCGCGAGCAGGAGAAATACGGTCTGAATCACAAGGAGATTTCGGCATTAACTGGTAACCTGTTCGGCGCGGGGTCCGACACATCAAGTAGTACGCTCATCACCGCTGTTCTCGCCATGCGAGCGTTCCCAGAAACTATGCAGGCCGCGTGGGAAGAGTTAGATCGCGTTGTCGGAGAGGACCGTAGCCCTTCGTTCGAAGACGATGCAAGCTTGCCTTACATGCGAGCATTTGTAAAGGAAGTGTTCCGATGGCGATCAGTCGCCATTATTGGTGGACAGCCGCACGCTCCAGTTCAAGACGATTACTACAACGGTTACCTGATTCCGCAATCCGCATGGATACAGGGCAACGTCTGGGCGATACACCATAACGAGCGTGACTTTCCTGAACCCGACCGTTTCAACCCGAACCGCTTCTTGAAGGACCATCCTGATTCGCGACCTTTCCCCGGCGAAAGAGGGTACATGACATTTGGTTGGGGTCGTCGAGTGTGCTCAGGTCAGGCGCTTGCGGAGCAGGGCACATGGCTGACGGTAGCGCGATTGGTTTGGGGCTTCAGGATCGAGCCAGCACTAGATGAGAATGGGCAGCCCATTCCGGTCGACATATTTGATTACACGTAAGTGCCTACTAGAAAGCGATCAGTATGTGAGATACTGACATCTGCAAGTAACGGTTTGAACATGCGACCGCAGCCGTTCAACGTGAGCATAAAGCCTCGGAGTGAAAGGATACGTCAAGCTATCGTACGAGAGGGCGAACAGGCATTGGCAGACCTTGCGCAATACGAGGGTGAGACGAAGTATCGCATGAGTACATTCTACAAGAAGTAGATCTTGCCATGAGAAAGTAGTAGCCGGGACGAATTTGGCGGTAGTGAGTGGTGGGCTGACGCGTAGTCTTGGTCAGCCAAGGCGAATGTCCATCCATCTCTTTTTAACCGGTGCTGCCTCCAATAAGGTTGATGTGGTCCCAGTACCAATTCTTTCCCAATGCGAGCCCCGACACTGAACTACCAGGACATGATGCTCTCTATCGTGTCCATGACGAAAGTACCAGGGTAAGTGCAGTACATAGGACTCCAGGAGAAAGCTGGGAAGATCGTGAGCTGTAGGTTCAACATCAATGAACGTTGATGCCAGTCCGATGCGGGAGATTTTCGGGTCAGGCTCAAGATAGTATGAACGAGATCTCTGCGATTGCGGCAGTGGGAGCGGCATTATACGAGTAACGTGAGCACTGATATGGATGTATATAGTCGGTGCCTGTGTGATGGAGTCGTATAGTGTTTGGTAAGTTTTCCAGTCAACAATTTTCCCGTCATTGAGCTCCGGCTTCACTGCGCATGAAATTTCAGTCTTGTTTCGGGACAATCTGGCGTTGTCCAACATCTTCAACCCCCTGGCCCATCGTACAGTGCCTTCCCATCCGGTCCACGACCAGCTAGGAAATTCGACTCGTCGTCTAGCTGGGCCTTCCACGTCCCAGCTCAAGTTGCTGACGAATCTTCGGTGCGATATGTTAAGCGGTGTTTTGTCCGACCCAAAAAGATCGTTATCACAGTATGGCAGTCCCCAAAGGTGTCTGAGACCATTTGAGTGTCCCAGAGACGCGAAGATCCCAAGCATTGCATTCAGTACATCGCTTTCATATGTGAGTGAGCGCCTTGTGAACGCTTCGATCCGGCCGAGGACTGTCATAGCGTAGCCCTTGACAGATGGGAAGAGGCCTGGATCATGTTCCTCGAAAAAGAATCCAGTTTTTTCCCCACCACGACGCCAGAACATATGTTCGGGGGCTATCCAGCCTTCCATCCGAAATCTTTCTTGACATTCGAAATAGAGTTGAGTGTCGGTGAAGACAAGACGTCTATTCGGAAGCAAGCCTTCTTGATATGTCCAGCCTCTCGTACTCCATGCCGTATTCTCTAGGGTATCGCTACAAAACACGGGAGTGGAATCCAGTTTTCGCTGCCCAATGTGGAGAGGGTGGTTCACTTTACGTTGCCGGCTAACACCTGGCAGTCCGTAAGCCCCATCATATCCCGCCGCTGCGATGATCGTGAAAACAGACCCTGCATAGACCTTGTCCATTTGTTTGAGCTGTCGATGAAAGTCTTCTGAAGATTTCTCCAAGCAATATCTATCGACCCAAAGGTAGTCGTACCCAAGCATCAGCGTGACTTTGATGGCATCCTCGATAGTTCGAGGTAAGTTGCACGATAAGACGCCCGGCTCCAACGACTCAGCGCCCGCTTGCTGGCCAGGATGTTGTGCGTCCGGCTTGCCCCACACGTAGCTCAATGTCACATACGACCCAGCTGGTGGCAGTTTTCCAACTAAGCGGTTTCTGCAGTCGATGACCTTCAGATTGTGTACGTTGGTGTCGTACTTTGACTCGGTCAAAAACTGGAATTTGTGACATCCATGACCCTTTACGCATGACGCGATCCACTCGCGGGCTTCTGTGTAATCATCGATCAGAGGTGTAATTGCTCGCAGATTCTGACTGATAAGTCCATCCGGATCGAAGATGATGGAACTGCGGATACCGAACAAGTCGAAGAGACTATACTCCCCGCGTCGCTCGATACAAAGTATGGGTGCTTCGATCTTTTCGAGAAGAGGTGTTACTGCGACGTGAGATTGCACTGCATTAAGGTTGCACACCCCGCCTTCTGGCACCTGACCCATGCTACCGGATAGGAATTGGCAGAGACTACAAGTTTCTGGCTTCAGTCGAGAGATCCTCAAGACAGTTCGGACCGGTACCCCCGGATTGAACCGGAGCGCATCGTCCAGATCGAAAGCTGCGCACTGCGAACAGAGGTGGTTAGGCGGTCTGACCACCGTGAAGCTTTGAGGAGGAGATAATGTCATGGCCCGACAGATCTTCTGGGATCGCAGTCGATGCGTATGAGCTGTCCTTGATTCGAATTGAATCTGCGTGCGGAATTGCGCAGAGGTGTAAGTGGGACAACTGCGCCCCATGCCTGCAGGACGCCCGCAACATTCGGTGACCAGTAATACACAGTTAGCTCAGCAGCGCGAAATGGGGAAACTTGGGTTTGATTTGACTGCAGCATCGCTGTCAACGTTGAGCCTAAATACACGGTGAACCAAAGCTGCTCCAAAAGCGCTGATAGAGTTTAGGAGTCTCTTCTATCTCCAGCATGATGCGACCGCTTGAGGCAATGGTGAGGATGGCGGAGAGGCCGTTCCCGATGATATTGTCGCCTTGAACATCAGGAGCGTCATCCGTGATCAACGCCAGATCAGAATTTGCCTGTTACGGGCAGACCTGCTGATGTAAGCGCGCACGTACCACTGCGTCATCGCGGTGCGCTCCCCTTGCGGACACCGAAAACGTCTACCTTTTGCATCGCGGTACCGTTATTGTTTATCGTGACCTGCTAACATTCATCGCATTCATATCGGATGCATTGGGACTAGAAGCAATTCGGCATCCGCGGTGTCGCACACTGACGACATCAATTGGACAACGATGAAGCAACCCCGCGCTTCTATCGCTCAAATCTCGGCCAGGTCTTCACCCAAGATCCATGATGGCGAGTTGGACTTATCGAGAATGCTTCATTCACCATGCCATTTTCCGTCATTAGGAATAGCAGGCAGCTCGAACCGTTGACCGATGTTAGTTCACACACCAAAGTTCGTCTACGAGATCCTTTGAAACACGACCTCTGAAGCTCCATTGTTTGGGCGCATTGGCTCCCGTTTTCGGCACTCATATTTTGTGCGGCAAGGAAATCATTCCTTTGTTGTAGTATGGGCCATTCGCTCCTCGTCAAAACAGCTTTCTGCGCAATGGAAGACGAACTACTCACGGATGTCGCACCTCTGACAAAAACTTTCATCTTTTGTATCGATTCAGCTCTTGTACCCAGCAAGCTAAATGGCGCCACCGTACGCGAGTTTTTATAACTATTTCAGATATGATGCCAACGAATTCATCCATCGGAACAGGAATTGGACGACTCGTGAGTAGATTTGCTAAGTACAGACAAAGATCACTTGCTTATAGTAGCCACTAGCGGAACGTCTTTGGACAATTTCGACTATATGGGCCGGGGATGGGAACGTCAAAAATTACTATGCTACTCAAACCCAGAATGCGAGTGGAAATTGGAAGGCGACCAGTCCTGGATTGCCAAACCCGAACCCAATACCAGTTAATCCATTCACGGCCGCAGATGTTAACCATGCAAAGACTACGCAAACTATGCCTGCATCTGCAACTGCTCCCGGAGCGAATGTCCTGCCTGTCGCCGCTGCTCCTGCATACGTCTCGTCTAACCTACATGACTTCTGGCCAAGGCTGCCATGGTCTGCACCGGACGAACCCGCTCCACCATTCCTTGACATGCAAGCGTTGAAAGACGATGTTGATTTCGTAAAGGAACATTGGCTCGACACTGAGCCGCGCATGCCTCCACCGAACGACAACTCTCGTTGGCATGGCGTCAAGCTGTTAGGATCTGGTAGCTATGGCGCAGCCGGTTTGTGGGCTGAAGCCGATGCAGCAAACAATATTCGTGACGTATGTATCTAGTCACAGACACGATCAGTGCCCTTTCCTCAGCGATAAGCTAACATCAACACCAGAGAATGGTGATCAAAGAAGCCAAAGCCTTCACACCAAGCCGATGGCGCGATCCCAAGAACTGGCGGGACCGATTGCCACAAGAAATACGTATCCACCAGCTTCTCGAAGAACGTCGTGTCGTGGAACCAGCCATGTGTCGTCATATTATCCGTTGCCGCGCACACCGACTATGGATGGAACATAGAAGATACAGATTGTATCTAGATTACCATTCGGGTGGCGACATGAACGCGGCAATGACATTTCATGCTAAAAGCTGGAAGGACGGGAAACCCACCGACGAGGACATATTCGTACCAGAGGGGTTCGTCTGGTATACCATCAAAGCGCTCGCGACTGCTTGTCTGGTGCTTCGCGAAGGCACCATCGATGGCACTACGGTTGATGGCTGGAGACCCATCACCCACTTGGATTTGCAGTTACCAAACATACTTTTGAATGTTTATACTCCACAGATTCCGGAAGCCAAAGGAAAGTCAAAAGCGGGCTCCTCCAAGAGTGCTAGACTCAACCGTGCCGACGCTGACGATTGGAGGGCTGGAGAGCCTCCCGTGATGCCTGTTCTCGCAGACTTTGGTATTTCCTTCTTCAGTCCGGATCGTGGCACCTGTCCGATTACCGACAATCCTGACGACTATGTCATCCACGAAACTGACACGCGATATCCTCCTGTAAGTACCTTTCTTTCTCCGAAACATCACTCACTACGACAGCTAATCGCTCCTAGGAAATGCACCAACAAGAGGAACCGTACTATCTCGAGTTGGGTGAAAGAACTGATGTTTGGGGCATCGGTCACATCGCATGGAGGCTCTTATGTAATAAGCAAGTTGATGTATTTGGTCCGATTCGTTGCGACACAAAACCTTCGCGCAGCACGAAAAAAGATGACCGGCACAAAATCCCGTTAGCCCTTAGACATGAGCGCAACGTCCGTCCCAATGATGACAAAAGTGTACTCGCAGAGAAGAGCACTGCACAATATACAGCTGGGAAGTACGGGCGAGAAGTCAAAGAGTTGGTGCGGAGGTGCTTGAACTTCGATCATAATCTCAGACCGACTCTAAGAGAAATCCTTGCTGAGGTCGATCAATCATTCTCGGATGACGACGTCTTGACAGACCAGATCAAGGACAAAGACGGGCTGCAACTCATTCTGCCAGATACTCCCGAGTTCGCCATTGGACAGCCAGTCGACGCAGCTAAAAGAAGGGGACGTGAATGAGACTTAGTCTGGCCGCTGTTGTAAGACTAATGCAATCACCACTCAATACCAGCGAGCGCCGCCTTTACTTCGCCCTCCCAATGTCTCTCGCTACTCTTGGACCAGCAAACTCCAATCGGCCTTGCCGTGAGGCCTCCTGTGTCTGCGCCGCTGCCTAGTGAAATCACTACTCGGGAAGTTTTTATTGATGATCATGAAGACGGTACGCTCTCTGTCCATCAATGCCAAACTTGGCTGTCATCCCATCATCTTGGTTGGCTGGCTGGCTTGCACAATGTCATGTCTATCTTGTTTGACAACACTTCCACCAGTCAATTTGCTTCACTATACAAGACAAGAAGATCGCAGAGCCGTAGTCGGCAAGCCTCCTCGTATTGACCGTCCAATGAAAGACTGAAGACAGGGCTCCTGTGTTGCTGAATGCAAGGGCTGACGGAAGCTGGGTACGTGATACGGTACGGTTTACAGCACGCCATCAGATCTACTTGAAGCTTGGATGTTTTCAAGCAGGAAGATACGTCATCTCGATATCACCACACCATCTCTTCATGTCCCTCAACGCCAATGTCTCGGAAAGAAAGGCACGATCCTCGGCGCTTAAAGCTTGATTCAAGTAGAAAGCTTCACTGCGGGCCTATCCGGCGTGGCATCCACGACGTCAGAAAGGTAAGAGCTACTACCTATTGAACAATTCAGGCGTAAGGCCAGCAAGAAGGTCTGAGACACAGATTATCCATGGAGAAATTGCTTCCGTCCACTGTACCCATCACACTGCGGGGGAACTGGGCTAATCATACTAAGCCTGCGGGTTGATACGAGGTACACTCTCATCGAAGAAGCGATATTCCCGCTATAATGAGACATAAAGTGGAACTGTCAACCCAAGGCGTGCCTGATCGTCGTGTGTAGTGGTTGTGTTCAGAATCCTATGGGGCTTACGGGACGCCTTACCCGCCCCCAGATTTCGATCCGTTGCTTAGCCGTTGTTCCCGGGCGGACATGCTCGATTTGGATATAGATGCTCGCACGATGTTCGAGGGACGGTGTTTGGTAGAGCAGGGGAAAAGTGTATATAAAGTCGTCGTTTGTCGGCTTGGAAGTATTCTTCACCAGCTCGACTCGACTCTACTCTTCAACTTCAACATCCAGACCAAGAAATCACTTTTCCCACACACTACCAATCCTCCACTTGACCATCAACATGCGTTTCGCTGCCGTCATTGCCGCCCTCGCCATCACGGCCACCGCTCTTCCTGCGACCTCTTTGGAGCAGACTGGAGCAGCTCTCGGTATGCTCTTTTCACATGAACTACCACGTCCGCAGAAGCTCTTGCTAACCACTCTGATCCAAATCAGATGCTCAGGCTGATGCTTGCGCCGACCTCGATGCATACCAGACCTGTACTGGAGCCTGCAGTGGGCTCGCCCCGGGCTTTGCCTGCGCTATCAATTGCCTTATCGCCTACTGCGCTTAAACTATTACCCTTGGTGCTTAGATTTGTATTCGGGCGGCAACCAAGGGGAAAGACCCTGGCTTCGTTGTTGGATGGGGGTAATCTTGGCCGTACTCTTGATTGTACTTAGGGTCTGTAGACTGGCCAGCCGTTCGTTGCTCGCATGCACAATGAAAATCTGTTAAAGTCAACCATTTCCGAATCCCATCTGTTCCAGATGAAGGTCCATAGCGTGATGTTTCAGAAGAACAATAGATTGTGTATAGATTTGGTATCAAGTTGAGTACAGTCCCTTAACGCCAAAGTAGCAAACCCTCATGATCCAAAAGAACTCGCCGTACATGACGCTGAAATACCAAAATCAAGCCATTACGCCATGCAATCCCGTCCCAACGTTATCATATCATATCATGTCGTATCGTATACAGTCTATCAGCGCCTTCCAAAGCCACCGGCCATCTGCTTCTGCACATATTTGGCGCCTTCTTTCTTGATGATAGGTAGGGCGTAGTCCTTGAACATGCCCATAGCCTGCCTCTGCCACTCCGGCTGTCCAGGCTTTCCCGGCTTGCCGCCTCCACCTCTACCGCTCCTGCGGCGGTCATCGTAGCGATCATCGTCGTCGTATCGACTGCGCCTGTCGCGACCTCCGTCGTCATAGCGAGAGTCGCGACGCGGCTTGCTGTTGAACATATCGTCGTATTTGTTATCGTAGCCGTCGTCGCGGCGTCTGCGATCGTCACGGGGCTTGTCACGGCGGTCGCGGTCATCGTAGTAGGGGTCCTTCTCTTTGCGGCGGCGGTCGGACTTGTAGCCTTCGGACTTGTAGCCGTCGCGGTCACGGCGCCCATCGTCTTTGGGCCTGCGAGGGGGATAGTGTTCGTCGTATGAGTCGTAGGTATCCTCGTGCCTGGGTCGGCGGGGGCGGTCGTCGCGGCGTTCCTCGCGATGCTTGCGTCGAGGTTGGGGTGGTGGAGATTCAGAGTCAGAGTCGGACGAGTAGGACGGTTGCCTGCGATGGCGACGTGGTCGGGCTCCACGAGGGTCACGTTCTTCTGCTGCTTGGTTAGCTGGAATTGCGAAGAGCGCTGGCAGGCTGGCATACCTCTGGGTGGTGGTGGCATAGATTCAGGTGGTGGAGGTGGCATGCCCTCCATTCCTGGCGGCGGAGGGGGAGGCGGCGGAGGATAACCTTCGTGGCCTGGTGGAGGCGGTGGAGGATAGGCGCCATGCGGGGGCGGAGGAGGGTTGTTGGGATATGGCGGCGGCGGCGCATCGTCTACAGGCCTCTCCTTGCGAGAGCGGCGGTGATCGCCTCTTCGGCTGTCGCGGTAGTCGCGGTAGTCTCTCTTGTCGTCTTTGCCAGGCGCCCATTTTGGCTTGCCGTTCTCGTAGCTGTCAAAGCGGTACGTGCCCGGATCTGCTTGCTTGTCAGCGCTGTACCAGTTCAATGCATGCTGGACATCTTACGTGATGGCGGCGGGGGCGGCTGCTCCGGTGAGGAATGTCTGTCTCTATCGCGACGACCCATATTGCTTGCTTGTTGTAGCGGTCAAGGTGCAGGTAGTGGTGGAGTGTAGGTGTCCAGGTAGCGTGGTCTAACAGTCGGCGGCGAACATCTGACACTTAAAGCGCGGCTCTCGGCTAGGCCGCACCTCAGCCCAGTCTCACAAGACACCATGTCGTCATATGCCCTAATGCCTCAGCTCGTCGTGCACAAGTGCAAAATTTGCGGGGCTGCCGACGCATTCGAAGCTTCGCGACGGCGTGGCAGAGCTCAAGTGGGCTGTGTATGTAGGCTGCGATCATCGTGCATGGGTAGCACGTCTAGACGGGCCCACACCTGCAAGCCATTGCCGTCCGCGATGCTCGACTGGCCAGGTTGTGCGCCTGAAGAGAAGGGCCGTTCCCCCGCAATGAAGCGTGGGATAAACTGAAGATCAGGGTCTTCCGGAGATTTCGACGATGGGGTATTGCTACGTGGTGTGCAAAGGGTGGTGCTGCCCTATGCTGATCTATCACACGCTCGTATAGACGTCAGGGGACGCCGCACTGCCCAGTCGCTACACCTGCTGACTGATCTCGTTACCTCAGTCCTGATGTCCTGACCTTGTCCACGGTCACGGGAAGCGGTGAACCTCGATACCACATGCGGACTAGATCTCATGACTCAAGTCTTCGTCTACATCATACTCGGGCTTCAATCGTATCGCGACCGAATTTTGACTATTCGGCGACATCACAGTAGCTCACCAAGATCCAACGTCACCTCGTTCATCGAGCAGACTACGTCACACAAACGGCACGATGGTAAGAGCATGTCGATCGAACTATCACACTCATCTAGACTTGATCTGAATTTCCACCAACGTCACCGTCGTTCAGAACATCTCGATAGCCTGAGGGGGCTGGGAACTAGACTGGACCTGCATAGAGTTGCAGTCTACACGATAAGCGTCTTAGCGGCCTCGCTCTTGAACGTACTACGTAGTAGACTAGATCTGATCAACCTCTGCTGCTGCTCTCTCTTGTCTCTGCTTCCTCTCTATGTGTAGGCTCAGGGCAAGCTCGACCAATATTAACTGAAGCCGTCCAGACGGTCACGAGGAGCTCCCGCGCAAGAGCCCTTCTGAAGCTGCAAGAATTGAACTCCAGTGGTCCTGTCAAGATGTTCCTGGACCTCGGTAAACTACGTGTACGCCGTCTTGGTTCGGACGCGAGCCCCGGAACTCTATCTAGCTAGCTTTGTTGAGATATCAGGTACCATATCGCAATAATTGCTACCTCCATTGTGAAACAAAGGTTACCTGTTCACCTGCTAGCGCGACTGCAAGCCAGCAGATTTCATGTACAGATTTTGATATTGGTTGATTTCTGGCTTCTTTTTGGTTTGACGGGTCACCAATGGTCGCACCTCATACAAGGGAAAAACTGAACACCCTAGAGGCTACATCAAGAAGAAACCCTGCAAATTAGGTGGCCTAACGTCGATGTAGGCTCCAGACCTGTCCAGGTTTTCCCTAGGTTGACGTGGTCGTGTACTAGACTTGGTCATCCCAAACGACTATATCCGCTCTCGATACACTGGAGGAGCTGAAAATCTACTGTCGGCTACCTCGCTGAGAGTGGTGCCACCTCATACAAGAAAAAAACTGAACAGGTCTGCAGGCTACGTCAAGCCAAAACCTTGCAAAGTAGGTGACCCAACGTCAACGTAGGCTCCAGGCTGTTCAGTTTTTTCCTAGGTTGACGTGGTGCTGGCCACGACCTTGAGGTGGGGCGTAATACCCGCGACCACGTGAGTTCGCAGAATCACCCCCTCGACTCTGGCCAGACGTGAACTGCCCGCGCCCGCGCGAAGGTGTAAAGTCTCCTCGACCATGACCAGGTACGAATTGGCCACGTCCGCGAGAAGGTGCAAAGTCAGACTCTCGACCCTGACCGGGTGTGAAATAGCCACGTCCGCGCGGAGCTGCAAAGTCTCCTCGGCCTTGAGCTGGCGCGAAATTCCCACGACCGCGAGGTCCACTGTTGTAAGCACCCCTG